CTAGCGGGGAAGGCCACTAACAACCTGGTAAGCATGTTATACCAGTTATTATCCTTGAAATTTCACTTTTCGTTCCCTATCACATGTTCTCTTCTGGCGCGGCATGATGTAACTGGGTACTTAGGGTGGTTCTGCTTCTTTTTGGGCATTATAAATGGCCCTATCAAAATAACAAACACTAGTTTGTTCGGACAGCCAGCGACAGGCATTTTCTTTTGTCAATACCTTCAAGAAGGGCGTCCAAGGTGAAAGGTGAAGTTCGTGTCTCGACGACCTTTGAAACTGAGGACCGTCCATTCCAGAATATTCATATATATATTGTGTGTTACATGCCTGTTATGGCACTGGTACTTTTGGTTTTTCCCCTTTTCTTTGGGAGACTTTGTTTAATAACAATAGACGCTTGCTATTAACTTAAGGCCTGGACTTTTTTTGTAGCTAATACTCCTTTCTAGCCACGGTGAAAAACGGGTGGCGCCAAAATCTCTCTAATTTTGCTTACGTTTTATCCACCCCCTCAACAACTGGGTGGCCAGGGCAGAAGAAGGACGAACCGGTGTGGAGTTGTCGCCCGCGTTCCTCGCCGAGCGATTCCCCCTCTACCCCTACTCCAACCACTAGCTCCGCCCACGGCTGCCGTGCCTGCCGCTTACGTCATAGACGCGCGGCCTGGCGACGGGCATTCACCATTTTATAGAAAAACGGTATATATGTTCCAAAATGTTCTTCAGATTCATATTCAGATAAGAATCTTACATTTATAATGCTACTTGTATGTAGTATATCTAAAAAATATACGTCGGCTCACATCCAATATTTTTTTAGAAAATTTTTCAAAAAATAGAAAATATTTTTTTTACATAGGTTCCGGTCCAGTGGTATCAAACAATCGCTGCACATAGACCGGGACATACCTAAAAAAATGAATTACTGTTTCCTCAAAATCCGTTTTTTCCTTATTTCAACCCCCAATCCCAAAGTTGCTTTATTCAAACTTTGATGCCTTTTTGTGATCATCCGTTAGTGGTATCAACGCAATGGCTGCACGTGGACCGGAACCTATGTAAACAAAGTATTTTCTATTTTTTGAAAAACAGTTTTTAAAAAAATATTGGATGTAAGCCAACGTATATTTTTGAGATATACTACATTGGTATTGGTATTGGTATTGGTATTAAAGGGGGGCGCCCTCGCGGGCGTCCAAGCACTTAGGCCACCAGATGGGCCCGTTGTGCCCCCAGGCCGCTCTAGAGGGCGTCCAGAATGCCGCCCCTCCTGTAGAAGGTCAGCAACTCCTTTAGCCCAATACCGTGCACTGAGTCCGGATCGATCAGGGCCGTTCCGAAGACTCCCAATCTTGCCCATGTCAAAGCAGGGCACTCGGTGAGCAGATGATACGGGGTCCGAGGAAGGGCGGGCCCATCCATCATAAGCCTCGCCTGCCTCATTCCCGGAGCAACTCTCCAGCTCCCCGCGGCCCGGTCTCTCGCCCAGGCTTCGAGAGCTCCCCGCCTCACACACGGGGCGATCCCCAAGCGGGGCTCTGGCCCTATATGCCTATGCGAGGAGCCCTCCCTGGCTAAGGCGTCCGCTGCCTCATTGCCCCGGACACCGGTGTGACCCGGGACCCAGACCAACGTGACCTTTCTCTCCTCAGCCACCCTCCTCAGTACCCCTTTGCACTCCTTTATCAACAAGGAGCGCGTACGCACTGACTTCAGCGCCATGAGTGCAGCCCTACTATCCGAGCAGAAGAAGACTCTCCTGCTTCCGTAGTTGAGCCGAAGCACCTCTCTGGCCGCCATCAATAAAGCGAAAATTTCGGCCTGAAACACAGTGCAGTACTGACCCAGAGGGACCGACGAGCTTGATCCCGTTGTCTCGCAGTACGCTCCAGCTCCGGCCAGATCTCCCATTCTGGACCCGTCCGTGTACCAGACAAGTCCATCCCAGGAGCCGACTCTGCCCTCTCTCCAATCTTCCCTTGATGGAAAGAGAAAGGTCAATTTATCAAAGAAGGTCATCTCGGGGATCATGACGTCACTCGGCATGCCCATGACCCCGCGATCCCCGCGACAGCCCTCTAAAATGTCGTACGGACCCCGATTGAGGGTTCCCTCCCTCCAGAGCCCGCAGCTCGCCAGCCTCACAGCTGTCCTGGCCGCCTCCATCTGCACCCGATCCGCCAGAGAGGGCAGCCCCACCAGAGCCTCCAGGGCCCTCGTGGGCGCCGTTCTCATGGCGCCCATTATGCAGAGGCAAGCCAATCTCCGCAGTCTGTCAAGAACTAGCCTTGCTCCCGCTCTTTTGGTCCCCGGCCCCATGCGTGAGCATAGGCACCACCATGGTGCCGTAGATCCACTGCATGATCTTCGGCCCCAGGGCCCAAGTGCCCCCTACCGCTCTCCGGCACGCCCACAGAGCTCCAAAGGCCGACCTGGTCCTTGATCTTATATGTTCCTGGAAGGTCAACTTAGAGTCCAACCATACTTGACACTTCCGCTTGCAGAAAGAGGCACCCCATCCATCGAAATGTTGAGGTTGCACTCCATCTTCCTTTTCCGAGTGAAGATGACCATCTCCACCTTGCTAGGATTGACAGCCAACTTGCTGTCCAGGCACCATTGTGAGAATCTTGCCAATGCCCCGTTTAGGAGCCCCTGCATCCTCCTCACGTCCGTCCCCTGCCTCATTATCACAAGGTCGTCTGCATATGCCTGAGCATAGACCCCGTGTTCTTCCCTCAGAATATGCAATATCTCGTTCACCACCAGGCACCACAGGAACGGGGACAAGACCCCGCCCTGTGGACAACCCCGTGATGAACCGATGGAGACCAGATATACTACATAGAAGTAGCATTATAAATGTAATATTCTTATCTGAATATGAATCTGAAGAATATTTTGGAACATATATATACCGTTTTTCTATAAAATGGTGAATGCCCGTCGCCAGGCCGCGCGTCTATGACGTAAGCGGCAGGTACGGCAGCCGTGGGCGGAGCCAGTGGTTGGTGTAGGGGAAGAAGGGAATCGCTCGGCGAGGAACGCGGGCGACAACTTCACACCGGTGAAGGACGAACTCCTCAACTTTAAACAAGAGTAGTGAATCACCGAGTACAATTATAGTCTGACCACCCTTAATTTAATACTTCAATAAGAGTCTACCTGCCCGTTATCTTTTCGCTTTTTCAATTGTTAGCCAGTCGAAGTGCTAACAATTTATCGATCGCTAACTACCCTTCCGCAATTCGTACACCAGAGCGTATCGAAAAAACACTCTAGTCTAAATTGGAGTCTGAGAGATAACGATCGGCCAAATTGCATTCCTGCGTTTCTGCATTGTATGCAGTAATGGCCAGATAACGTAGTTGCGTATGTCGAATTGACAAGCTAATGATGTTTCATGGCGTTTCGAGTCGGTATGAGCTCCGATTTGCCGCGTATTCGGGGACCTTCTGGCGTGTCGATGTCGAAATGCACGCCGCTGCGTCGCATCAGCATATAGGCCTTTGTTGCTGCGGTCTTTGCGGCGCCCTGAAATGATTTCATTCATTCATTCATCATTTTGGCAAAATATGAATGTATGGTTTACAGCACAAAACAAAATGTTCATAAGTATTTAATAAAAAAATCTTTTTACTTACTTATAGATAATCCTGAGGATGTGTATCATAATTATGAAACGTCCGTGTTAATTTGTTTTACATAAAGTAAAAGTGAAAGAATGTAAGGGGATGGCAATGTCAATGTGCCTAAAGATACAAAACAATTTCTGCATAAAAGCTGTAGAAATCCGTTGAAGGTAGTTTCCCTCAATTTTTTTGTTACAAAAGGATTTGAAGTTACAAGTTATTTTAGAATTTATAAAACTAAGCTCGGGTTGATATCCAAGTTAATTTTTGATCCAGAAAATAGTACTTTTTGCATTTAAAATATACTTTTCCTCTGCCCTAACTAAAAGACTGCTTGGACAGTCTTATTTATTACCTTATAGTTTTCATTTGGATAGGTAAATGGTTTAGATGGATATTAAATAAAGTTGGAGAAATGCGTTAGCCTTGGAAAGTGCCCCTCATCAATGCCTGACCTTCGAAGCATATTTTAACTATCTATGTGGAAATCCTTCAGCTCATATCAAAGAAAAGTCCCAAAAAAATATTTTTCGATGCCAATTTTTAGTTTAGTAAAAATATAAAATTGAAAGATTCATCCATTCTCTCAGACACTGAGGTTAAATATAGGTTGTTATTCATATATAAAAGTCGCCACAAAATGCGAAACATATCACTTGGTGTTTTAAATTACATTTATGTGTAATAATAACTGTTGCATATGTGCTGCTTTCCAAAACTTATTTCCCTACAATGGTTTCTAAAAGTTGCTTTATGTATGCGAAAGCAGAAACTAGAACCATTCGGGGGTGTAAGTGATACAAACAATAATTTTGAGTATAGGAACAGACGTACTGTAGTAAATTGAATTCTACATTTTAAGCTGATTATATTTGGTTGACACTGATTGCAAAAACATTAAATTTGATTGAAAGAACTATAGAACATCCTTAGATCAAGAAGTCGTAAACAGAATTAAGCTCCAAACATAAAATTCAAAAGTCAAAATGCAGTTTCTCCACATTCAAATTTCTTTTAAACAACCCATCAATTAAAAACCAAAGGAAACATGATTTTGTTTAATTTTGTCTCCATAGACACGAATGAGAATTTAGAATTTGAACGGGCCTAAGATAGGATTTCCTTATTCAACAGTCTAAAGCCATTGAGTTTTACTGATAAAATTTCATAAGTTAAAACCCAAACTACTTCGTAAAGAACAAAAAAAAAACAAAATTGCCAATTTGAAGTTGAGTTTTGTTAATGCGACCGAATCATGCAGTAGCCATTAGATCGCGAGTTTGATATTGGTTACAGTATTTGTAGGACTTCAGCTATTTGTTTTGGATTTTGTTGCCTAAAAAGGTCTTTCGTTTCCTTTCAGATTTAGAAGCTCCACGCCTGGACATAAGTAACCTGGAAAACGGCTACCACGGTATAGTTAAAGAAAACGAAACGGTCGTAGAAGTGACCCCGCCCATTAGGGCGGTGGGTTCGGAAGTATGTCGTTTCCACATTGTTAACAAGCACCACGGCGAAGCCCCCTTCGATATCGAGCTAAGGGAAGACGGCCACGCTGAGCTAAGGGCGAAAAGGTCTCTGAACTGCGAGAAGAGGAAAAACTACAAATTCGATATCGCTGCCGTCGGTTGCAACGGGAAGCAAAGTGTTAGGTAAGTCGTTTGCTTAATAGCAGTTGCTCGTAAGCCCAAGCAATTACGGATAAATTGAATGAAAACAAATACCTTTCTGCTATTCAAAAATCAATTCATTCAGATCTGCGAAGATTTTTTTTGGGACGTGAAGATATTGGAAACTATGCAATGAAGTTGAAATTTAGTTTTGGTCTTAGTAAATCATTTTTTGCTAAACCATTTCTTCATTTTTTACATATTTTGCGCCAAAAGTTATAGGAAATGTGACTGGTACCAGACAACTCTTGGCATATTTATGCAAATACCTAGTGCAATATTGTTGATATGGAAGGCACATCAAAATTTCAAAAAAAAATTTTTTTTTTTTTGGTACTGCGATGCATCGGATCGATTGGCGCAGCGGGCGCTCAAGCATGTCGGTAAATAAAAGAAGCAGAACTGTCTACTGATAGAGGACAGAATGTTCGTCAAATTAATGTGCGCCTATGAACAACTAAAAGACAATATACTACCCGGGAATAGACAACAGACAACTTTATTCCAGTCTCGCCGCGGTGGATTTATTGGAAACTTTTGCTGAAGAAAATCAAGTAGTAAAAGGAAAAGAAACAAAGATAATCATATCGAATATAAAAGAATCCACACTAGCATTAGAAGTAAGATACGAGACGCCAAGGAAAAAGAAAAGGATCAATGCCAGGAAATAGAATACTACCAAAATCGATACGCTAACTTCAACATATATCGTAAAATAAAAGTTGCTGGAAATATCAGACATAACAAATGCAATAAGATGGTAGATTAGCCGTCAGTAAAGATTAAAAGAAAAAGAAATGAAAGCAAGACATGTACCTTTCATTGCCATGGACTTAGGACCGGAAATCTTCAATAGTCAAAATAGTCAAACTTCAATACCTGGGTCACATCATAAGGAACAAAGGAAGATATCGAAAAGTTCCAGAAAGAAGAGCGCCAGAATGCAGAAGGCTCTTGGCTGGCCAATCTGCGAGCACGGTTTGGCAAGTCTTCCACACAACTGTTTCGGATTGCAACCAACAAACTTATCATAGCCAGAATGAATGCCAACGTGACGACAAATTGAAAAAGGCGCTTGCGGTTCTGTTTGTTGGAAAGGACACGGATTGTCTGACGAAAGGTAATATAATTAACGCAGAATATTATTCGAATTTAATATCCGGACTGCTGCAACGAGAATTTGACAAAAAACGACTTGGAAATTAGGACTGCAAGCTGTCCTAATTTCCTGAAATGGGGATTATGTTGAAAAATTACATGAAATATTGACGAAAATTAAGAAAATAACAAAAATTGTAGCTAAATTCTCAGAACCTTGGAAACATCCATCTTGCTGGAATTTAATTATTCCCTGTGTACAACATTATGACCGTAAAATTCACCGGTAGCTGCTGGTGTTCTGGTTCTGCGGCCCCAGGTCTCCAAGACTCAAGGAGCTAACCACTAACTTCACTTCTCGAACTGTATAAAATTTTAATGTTCCTCGCAAGGTGTAAAAGGCAAGAGACAGTCCGAAAATTTCGCCTATAGTAGGTCGTACTCAAAATTTTCGCGCAATCGCAGTTTTTACATACAACAGTGAAGACGTAAAAGTATTCGTGATATTTTCAAGAAGCAAGAAGCTTTCTAATGAAGCTTCTTGCGTGTGTTATTTTCGCAACCGTATGGAACTAAAAAAGTATAAGGAAAGGTTACACACCAAAGACCAACATTTTAAGAAATGAAAACAACGAGCTCATAACGGATATAAAAGAAGTAATGCAAGCATGGAAACAATTCTTTGAAAACCTGTTAAACATAGATACAGTAACTGGGAACACGAAGAAGGTATACCAAAGTGCGGAGGAGCATGTGCCAGAACCCACGCTAGAGGAGATTAAAAGGGCAATAAACCAATTAAAGAATAACAAGGCCCCGGGTGAGGACTCCATTACGGCGGAATGCATAAAATATGGAGGGGAACATCTAGATACTGCCATACTAGAGCTGTTGAAAAACATATGGAAAACAGAAGCCCTACCAAAGGAGTGGAATGAGGGTACCATCGTCCCCATTCATAAGAAAGGAGACCGGATGACCTGTAAAAACTATAGAGGAATAACCCTGCTAAATATAACATACAAGGTTCTGTCAAATGTACTAAGAGGACGCATATCCCCATACGCAGAAGACAACTTAGGGGACTACCAATGCGGGTTTCGACCCAAGAAATCAACAACAGATCAAATATTCACCATAAGACAGCTCCTAGAGAAAAGCTGGGAGTTTAACAGAGAGGTTCACCAACTGTTCGTAGATTTCCGCCAAGCATATGATAGCATCACCAGGGAAAGTGTCTGGCAAGCGTTGGAAGGCATAGGGGTACCAAAAAAGATCATAAGGCTAACCAAGATATGCATAGAAAACTCTAAAGCCAAAGTTAGGGTAGGAAAGAACAACACCGAGGCTTTCTCCATTAACAATGGCCTAAAACAGGGCCATGGACTTTCACCATTGCTTTTCAACATAGTGCTGGACATGGCCATCAAAGAAGCGAATATTGGCTTGGAAATATTTACAAGTAAGGGCCCAGAAATGATTTTGGCATATGCCGATGACATTGATACGGTAGGAAGCAGTACGATTAAAACAAAAGAAATGTTCATGAACATAGAGAAGGAGACCAAGAAGGTAGGACTCATGATCAACGAGGACAAGACCAAATATATGTGGGCCAGACGGAGAGCAGGAAGGGGCAGAATAGGACAGAACATAACCATGGACACCCACAATTTTGAATGCCTAAACCAATTTCAGTACCTAGGAGCAGTTATAACTTCGGATAACGATATCACCAGCGAAATAAAAGCAAGAATACAAAAGGGCAATGAATGTTTTTTCGCCTTGCAGAACCGGTTTAAGTCCCGACTGATATCTAGGAACTCAAAACTACGGATATATTCGGCAGTAATCAAGCCAATCGTAATGTATGGCTCGGAAACATGGACAATGACAAAGCAGAACGAACTAGTGTTAAGACGCTTTGAACGAAGGATGTTGCGGAAAATCTTCGGACCAACAATAAATGAGAGAACGGGTCAATATCGAATAAGAACGAATGCGGAGCTTAACGACATGTACAAAAGACCGAGTTTAGTAAACGAAATAAAAGCACAAAGGCTCAGGTGGGCTGGACACGTGCAGAGATCGCCGAATGAACGTCTTGTAAAGAGGATATGGGAAGAAAACCCAGCAGGAAAGAGACCCTTAGGAAGACTAAGGCTCAGATGGAGGGACAATATCGAAGAGGATGTAAAAATCTTGGGAGTACGGAACTGGAAGGAGGTTGTGTTGGACAGGGACAGATGGAGACGAGTCGTAGATGCAGCTAAGACCCACGAAGGGTTGTGACGCTACGGAAAAAAAAAAGTATGGAACTAACCAAATCGTATATCTTAGAGGAAAAAAAAGCTCGAAAGCTGGATGATAAATCTGCTTCATCATATTAGATATACCAAAATCAAACGTCGAATCTTCTTTTACGTTTCCGGGGGTAATTTTACTTGCCATCAATTTCGCCGTTCGTGATCTTTTAAAACTCGATCACCGTCGGAATAGTGCGGGCGGCGAAAACCCCGCCGCCCCGCCCCCACCGAGATACGCCTGCCAGAAGTTCTCGGAGACTACATAATTTTTGCATTACGGTTTCTATATATTTCGGCTTTATTGCCCTTTCGGCGGATACAATAAAATTTTTAGACGGATGAGCCAAGGAAAGGAATCGAAGAGGGTTGACAGCGTCATTGGCGTATCGAGGCATAAAACGCGGCCGACATATTTTATGCCGGTTTCGAGAGTTGGTATCCGATCTACACAGAGAAAAAGAATTAGTTTCTGAAAATAATCGCATTTGTTAATTAAATAATTTAATTCGTATCGAGCAACTAATATCGAATTCAAGGAATTATTATTTTTTGTATGTTTGTATTATTACAATTAAATCAATTAAAAGGTTTATACTAGATACAATTTTTATTTATTTTCGAGACCTTTTCGTTGAAGTGAAAAAAGTGAAATATTTATTTCAGGCAATCGAAAATTAATTTGTATTACAAAGAAGGAGGAACTTGCGAAAATTTAGCGAAAGTCGACGTCTTACCATCTTCGGGTCGATTTCTTCGCGTAGCTACTTGTGGACTCATTTGGATCGGTCAACAGTGAATTGGGAGGCAGTAATTTAACAATTTCGGCAAAATATGGACAACCCTTGTACTGCTTAAAGAAAATCTTCGTCAAAATTTGTTGCGCATGATGGTCTAAAACAATATCCAGAGGTATTAATTTCCAAGAGCAAGAGCAAGCGAAACCTTAGTGACTGCGGGAGCTTCTACAATGGTAAAGGGTTGTAATGTTATACCATATCTTATTACTTTCTCTCTTTTTGCACTTACAGCTTCTTCTATCTGAGCAGATGTATAAAATAACCCATACTTTAAATTTATTTTCTTCAATAGAAACAATGTACCTACCTGTACTTGAAGAACAATAGGTTCCCTATACTCAGTTAAGTTTTACATATTAAATAATTTAATTCTACAAACCCTGAAACAGCAGAACAAGATTAAGATAGTAATTCATCTATTATCCACATTCATAGTCAACCTATAACATGGCAATACAAATGGCGATTTACTTGCAGCAAAAACGTTTTAATATGAGGAAATATTAATTTAACATTCGCTTTATTCCAAGCAATAATTTTTGTATTTGTAATATTGTATTTATAATTCTAGCTCTAAATATTATAATATATATTTTGTTAATGTCGGTTTCTTAATTGACTAGTCAAATTTGATCAAAATGTTTTATATTGTAGAGTGTTATCTATTATTATAATTATGCATTTATAAAGTCCAATTTACCTGTAACCCTCTTCAAGGAATACCCGAAAACGATACTTAGTAATTCTGGATAAAAATATCCCCTCCATTTAGTTCTCAGAA